TTCTGTCTTTTGACATGCCCCACCCATATGGGCCCTATTACCGCCGGTCCCGTATAATACAAACGCGCTTTTTGTTATTGTGGTGATATGTATTCTGAATCCTTACCGACCAATCTATTCTCAGACATTTCAGCTTTGTTGCGTTAAAGTTCGTAATTATGACTCACCTGAGGTGGATTCACTTTGCCAACATCCTGGGTCGGAGTAGCAAGCAGTTGATGGGTCCCGGTCTGGGCATCGATCACGAAGTCAGCATCCGCAAGCATGCCGACCAACTGGAACATAGCCAGGTTTGCAGAGTAGCCAGGCCGTATACCTGTTATCCAGAGCAGTTGCTCAGCCTAAATAGAAGAGCTGTTGGTTAAACCTGGTCAGTCAAAAATGTATTCCACAAAGAGAGGGGGAACAGACCGCACGAAACTCACAGACTCCTCGTGAAAGAAGGTCACCAGGTCAATTGTGAAGTAGCCTTTCAGGCCCCTGGAGGCGCAGTCATCTATGAGAGCCCTGGAAACTTTGTTGACCCACGCGGGATCAACTGAGGTCATTGGCACTTTAAAAAAAGGCCGGTGTAAAGTCGTTAGTGGAAATATTTGAAGCAGAGCAGACAAATATCCTTGCAGATTAAGATAAGCGTTATACTTTAGAAGAACGAACGTTCTAAAAAATCTTGGCGCTGAATGGCAACGGCTACTTAGACCTAAGTTATTTTTTTCAAAAAACAATTTGATGGAATGTTGCGAACACGCCGCGCCAGTCGACTGACGGTGTCTACTTAAAAGGGAATTTGCCTACATATAACGATTATTCCGACTGAACGGGTACGCAACACGTTGCGTGAAAAATTTTCTCCGAAGTTAGCGGAAGCCAGAAGATCGGACATGTAAGAGAAAAGTGGTACAGAGGAAATTCTTTTCCTTACCCTACAGGTAAGGACTTTCCGAAGCGATCGCCTGAAGCTTAAACCGTCTCGGCATCTGCACCGCTCACAAGCTGGCGTCCTCCCTGAGGGGAGCTCTATATCGCATTAAGGGCCATCCACAGAAACAGCAAAAATTTAATGTCATTTACCACATTCTGTGTGCTTCTTGCCCTTGTGTCTACAAAGGCCGTACAGGTCAACGACTCGAGACCCGCTTAAATGAAAACAAATTGGCCATTCGGTGACGTGGTTTATTGTTTCTCGTCTTTCCACACGCCATTGATTGTGGCAACCGCTTCAAGTGGGACACAACTAAAGTGGCCGCCACAGCTAACACAAAACAGGCGCGAGAATTTATCGAAGTTTGACAACCTGCAACAAACAGCGTCAACTCAAACCGTGGAGCTGGACGTACATTACGATGGCCTGCGTGCATGGTCCACTACTTTGCGCACACTATGAAAAACCAAATACCTATGCGTGCTCGGCCAGGTAAAACTTAACTGATTCTGAACTCCCCCGATACGTGATCCACAATTAAAACGTTCAACCCCTCTTCTCAATTGCAGTACCTATCGCAATTTGATTCGCGTCCCGTACTCCCAGTCCCCCTGGACCTCAGCCGTTCGATGTAACCCCTGGCCCCAAATCCCTTAGTGCGATAATCCCAACCCTCACTTCTAAGATTGCTTGAGGATACCTTGGTGTAACCGACTTGAAAATTCATGACCAAAACTCAATTCTTCCAAAGAGCATTCATTCTTTATTTATAATCTCGGAATGCAAAAAACATCAATTATTTATAGGTCGTTTCATCATACCCCAAAGAAGACGAAGAAAAAGGTAGAAGGACACGGAGCTGAGTATATTGAGACTGGCGTTTCGGACACTCGCTCGGTTCCACCGTCAGAGTAACTAGATGATTGTTCCCGTTTGCCGTGACTACTTCAGTCTTGTCCCACGCCGGATATTATCCCCGTGCTCGGCGCACGAACTGTGACCTGCCTGTTTGCTGCTGATTGACCTTGCAATTGACCGCTGGTGGGCTCGCATGGCCTTTCTTCCTTTTGTGGCTGCCGTAATTGCTGGCATCTCAGCGGGTTTACTGGCCTGCTCCTCATCGGCCGACGG